CGTCAATAGTTTACGAGTAATTTGCAAAAAACTGTTTTTTCGTTTTTCGTCAATAACTCGTAAACTATTGACGCTAGCGAAAAGTTTTTATATGGAAATTGTAGATCTCGTCGTCCTCTACAAAAAAGGTCTTATGCAATTTTCCCGTAGATTCAACGGTTTAGGAGTAATTGAGAAAAAACGAAATTTTTTGCTAAAAGTTCGCCATTTCGGCAGTGAATCGGTCGGATTTTGTCAGTACCCATAGAATGCCAATTAATGATATTTAACTCGTCAAATATTGAAGTTAGAAGAAAAATGCATAGAATCTTTCTTGTAAAGGACATCAGTGTCTACAATTTCGTATAAAAATTTTTTCGCTAGCGTCAATAATTAATTGGATATTTCCTTCTATACTTTTTAGCACGTAGCTATTTATTATTAGCATTATTCTTCCGACGTCTGATTTCCTTTCAATTATAGAAAATGCGTTTTTCTAAGGTACATAAACTTTTGGGATTGACTGTATAACCAATACCTCCTTAACGCGCGAAGATTTTCGTGGCGATTCTTCCACCGGGAGGTTCTTGACCGATGTACCAGTCGTGTGCTGTACAAGACAATTCTGAGAATTTCAGAACAGGCTCTCCAATATGACGCGCGAATGCTCGACGAAACTAATATAAGTAATTCATCAATGAACAATGTTTTGCGATAATCATATCTTAGCAGAAGTTAATTTTCTAGATAAAGCTGATAGACGTTCCACGTTTGCTAGTAGCAAAACGTAATTGCATAGAGTCCGAAGTATGACTCGTTTTTTTAACGATTCATCGTTTACGTAGCGAAGTCTATCGAAATGTCGGCAGGTAGGAAGCGGATTCTAAATCGGTCAGGTCCAAGAGACACGAGTGACGCAGAAGACGAACGTCATGGATGTAACCGGACCGGCTCGATAGATGATGTAATTCATCTACGATGTACAATTGGACACTTTGTGTTCCATTCACGTCGAGAAACACCCGCGGTTTCGTGTACGATAGAACCATTCAAACGCGGATGTCACCGACCCGAAAGAGATTCATACTATACATAGATTTTACGTCACGAGACTTGTCACGCATCTTACCTATCAGTAGTTCTATTCAGCGGATTCTCAAGCGAATTCGTCGAACGCAGGAATACGGCAGTGCGATATGCTAATGATTTTGTCTTACCGCTGCCGACGTCAGATGCATCTCTTGTTCTAAAAGAGAACTTTATTTAGCTTGTACTATTTTAGTTATGTGCATAAGAAAAATGACATAACTTAAAAGAGACGTTTGTGTACTGTAACTATGGAAAGACAAACCATTTTTGACGGCATAAATCATGAGAATGACTACTATAAATAATGATAATTTGTAGGCAAGTAGCACATCCTTAGCGATGAATGTAATGTATACTGATCGAGGAGAACCTCAGACATAACAGGAGGACAGAGAACGTTCGTTCAGGTGCACGCAAACCAGCTACGTACATGCATCCTCGTGGGATAGCGAACTTTCCACGAATATTACTGTCACTCAACCTATTTTCGTACTGTCTACATTTTTTCCGTAACATCATACCTTCTCCGACAGAGAAATTATTGACTCGGCAGTAGAAAGGAAACGTAGAACATGTGGCAATTGAAATCAGTGTGTGAATCAACAGAATCCAATCTGTTAATACAAAGAGATAAGAATAAAGAATATTGAAATGTGGAAAATGGAATATTAACAGTTGAAACTTCGTCATTCAGATATTTCTTATACTTTCGGTATTTGAACAGTAGAGATATAACGGGATACCGCTGCTGTATTGCCTACGTGCGATTTGATTACATCGATATGGTGGGCATACAGTAAATATATAGAATGCTTCCGAGCTCGTGTCCTACCTACATCGATCCGCAAATATGCTCTCGAATTATGCATTTCGTGACGTCTATTTGCACTTTTATTTCCTGGGTCGTGACGTATCTAGATCTTCTGATTTTCGTTTCGCAACGTGTCGCAACTCTAATCGCGATGTTATCATCGCGGAAGCAGTCTGCAAATTCATCGTATCTTGTAAAAGTGCATGTTTAGCGGACAGAATTTCGCGGATTAAAATCGTCGCGTGCATTTAAATTCCGTTCCAAAGTTTAATCCCAATTTATCATACGATTGTACAATTCCACACTTTGATCACTCTTGACTTTTAAAGTCGTATATGTACTATAGTATATTGATTTAGCATATTTTATCTGTCTGGCGCCAGATACATGGCTCTCGTGAGTCTACTCCAAAAACCGGATCCGATAATGCAGTGGGGTCACGCGAGTCATGTAGATCCCATCGATGACCATACCTGATTTCGAAGCAAATCTTATCGCGATTCTTCTTTTTATACCTGTTCCTTCTGTCTTTTAAAAATAACAAGGCAAATAAATCCATTAATTGACTCGACACACTTTTATGCACGTCAGATTTATCTTCTTGTCGCCATCGATACAGTGCTCGTTCTTCAAGTGCTCGCACTTAAGTTATAAGGCAATCATTGTTCGAATCCCAATTAGAAATACCCATATAGTATCCCTGATTAATGGGATAAAATTCTACGAGCGGCGTGGCAATGTTCCTAACGATCACCATTCTACTTCAGAATTATAGGTCTTTAAATCGAGAACCATACTTAATCTTCTCGGCAGGCCGACGTAAATTACATCTTGCCAGTTTCACGCGTCGATAGCCGTATCGAAGGAAGAAATGATTGAAGATGTGATTTTCTGTTACAGAATTCTGTTTTACACGACGCAACCGGCTCATGTCATCATGATCGCAGCGGTCCTCTGCGTGACATCGGCTCTTGTGCCGACAACGGATCGAATGCACGTCGGTCACCCGCAGTCGAGAGCAACGTCTTTCATTTACCTGGCTTCGTTCATGATGCACCTCGGCGCCCAAGTCTGGATGACTTTCGTATCGGGTAAGTGACCGTGAATCAAAAAGACAGCTGAAGGTACGATAACGGCTGTCTTCTTCTGTACAGGTCTGTCCTTATACTTCGCATTGCCGAGGCACACGTTCGGCGAAGTCCAGCGCATATTGTTTCCTAGATACTTTACGATCAACGCTTGCCTCAGTCTCACTACGCTCTTGATTTTCGTGAAGCATCATCCGATACACACTTGGGACACGGAAATCGCTGTTCAGGTTCGTAAAATAATAAATTTGATCTTCAGAACATGAAGCTCTTGAATCTTTCTTCTCTCGTTAAAAATACTTATATAATAACATGTTTACGCTTTAGTTTCGTTCTGCGAAACTGCGTATTTTTAAAACGTACGAGGAACAAGAGACCGTCTGAATGACATGTCACATAATTTTCGAAACTGTTTCTGTTTCAGGTGGGCGGTATGTCCAGCGCCTTTTTTCTAGAACTTCTCATACGACTCTATCTGACTCCGCCCTTGCTACAATTGATAGTGCAAAAGAACACCCTGGAACGCGCCGCCGGTGTCGGCAACGAAATAGGTGCCCACAATCCCGGCCCGTTGAAACACTGCCCTCACTATTTAAAGATCCATCAGACCTTTAGACGTATCCACGTCTACATAGCGATGGGAAACATGTTAACTATGGGATGTACAGTGTTACATCTTCATTACATAGCTAGCAAATTATGCGTTCTTTAAAGAAGACGAATCCTCTCGCTGAATATATGCAGTATATTCCGAGTTTTCAAAGGAGGCTGAAGCTTCGAAAGCGTGTTAGCAAAAAAGGTGGTCGCCGATTGTAACGTCGTTCGTATAAGGAATACAGGTGAAATTTAATGACTGAGGAGGAATAGATAGCGGACGGCTGAAGCCATGAAGCAATGAATTATATACTCTAGAAAAACATGTTTAGAATTCTTCGTGCGTTGAAGATAGAAAAGATACTGAGGCTCGCTTATGTAATTGTAGAATGAGTGTTTAGTGCAATTTAGCCGAGCATTTATAGAATCCCATTAAACGAACATGACCTGTTAACTTATTATTAACGCGATGCATTAATTATAATAAAAATGTAACGATATATATATATATGGTTGACGGTGACGTATGTGTAATACGTTCCACCGTGAAATGATTAGATTTTCTTTCCGTCATTTTCTTGTCCGCTGGCAAATGCAATGTGCGTGTTTGTGGATCGTACGTGTGCCTCCGGCTGAGATGACTAGTTAGAATGCATGGGGATCGCGAAGTAAAATTCGCGATTAATCTTTTGAACGAATATATGTAAAATTAATTGAACGGAACAAGATGATACGAATCTTGCCAAAGTTTAATGTAAATCGATGATAGTAGTAATATTTAACAAAAGTTAATTCGACGTACATCGTACGCCTAGATCGTGTTTTAGTCGTCGATATAAAATTGAGATAAAAATTAAGGTGATCGACTGTATTAATTAAAAATAGATAGTAAAACGGCTGCTCTGTATCAGAGTTGATATTTATTGAATTAGCGGTAGCACTATAATAGTTTAATCCTATATCTGCGTAAAGTTGTCGGATATTTGATGAAAAACGAACAAGAGATTATTGTGTAAAATGAATGTATTAATTGGCTAATGTCCTGTCTCCCATTACACATTTCATTATTGTAAATAATGCATCTCGCTGCTCATTACTATTACGTATTTGTAAATTATCAAATGATCGAATATCAATGTACGTATAAAATCGTGCTTTTTTCAAAACCTAAATTGTATTAATTACGAATCCTATCACGTCCCTCGCACGATAGTATGATCTTCGATCGACGCGTCTATTACTGATCACTTAAGATCATCGACTCAAATAATAAAACTCTACTTTTAATTATAATCTCGAAATTAAACGTTCTGACGTATAAATTATTATTAATACCTAGTATCACGAGCGCTACTATTACGTTTCTCCATTTTCATAAAAGAACTCGACGATCCTTTTACTAAAGTACGAATATATTTCAATATGATGATGTATATCACTAATATAATGCGAACATATACGTGAAAAACCTATGATCTATCACTATTATACCCTACATTTTCTCTACAAAAACAAGTAAATATGTAAATATAAACATATATACAATTTCGAAGCGTAACGGATGTATCTTATTTTGTTCTTCGTAAAAAATGATTGCCCCGTTGCTTGTCAAGAATTGTCAGGAATATAGATCGGTCCTATTTCCAAAACCTCGTTGTCACGTCGGCACAAAATAAGATACATCGATTACAGTCAGGGGCTATAAATATACACGTGGTTCGTCAGAATCTATGCATCAATCCTACGCTACTATTTCACCCTTAATTATCCCATGAGCTCGTTTTAGATTTGTATGATCTTCTTCGATCACCAATACGATTAATGAGTACGTAAAATACGAGTGGCACGATGATTAAACATTGTATTATCGTTAAGTTAACATGTACATATACTGGATATTTTCAGTGAGCCAGTCTTGTATACTCCCCCAATAATTTAGACGCGTTAAAAATTAATCAAATCGTTCGGAATATTAAAATCTATTTAAATTTTCGTTTATAGATTCCTAAATCGCGAAACACCCGGCCATCGATTCGAGTGTCCCTTGAAAACGTTTTGTATCTTAAAAAATAACTAGTATTTGTACATGCTTATTTTATACAGGTACAAAAGGAATCGTGAAGAAACTGATGGCAGATGCGAAATTCTGTACAAATACTGAAATAAAACGCACGACACGATGAGTTTAAGTAAACGACACGGTAAAAAAGACTTCGATACACACGAACCGGTGTCGATCAGAGAAGACCCGCGGTCCGCTAATAGAAAATAGTACCTTTATACCCTAAGAATTTCCGCCGCTTTGTTATAGCAAATCGCGATCCAATCAGGTTGCGTGGCACCCCACTGAATTTGATTCACCTCGCCCTCCGCGGCCGTGTAAGCGAGAATCGGATCCTCGATGGCTCGCGGCATTTGCTGTATGTCCCAAATTAACGCCTGATGATCGTCCCCTGCTGTGCAAATGTGGCAGGACGAATGCGGCGCCCAAGCTATACCGTTCACGCTCGCTCTAAAAACCGTCACACGATGTTCTCAGTACTCGAACATATTTACAGCTATAGTAAAAGTGAAATAAACGTCATAATGCACCTATGGTTGTTGAGTCTCGCGACCGGCGTGCATGGAACGCGTACGTCTAAAATGATTACTTCGCACGCGTCCATCGCGACTGTGGCGAGATAATTCGGATCTTGCTTATTCCACGCGAGTCTCAACAGCGGCGTGTGCTGCGGATCCTCATAGATTATCGTCGAGTGTTCCAAATGCCGTAAATCGAACATTCTCACGGAACCGTCAGCGCCGACGGACGCGAACATGTCGCGACCGCCACCCGCGCGACTAAATGCTATATCATACACTTCTTTATCGTGAGCGATCAACTGGGTTTTGACGTGACCGTTGACCATATTAGTCCTGCCTATACTCTGACCAGTTTCTAGCCCCCAAATGGTACACGTGGTGTCTATGCTTGAAGTGCCAATCAAATTTGGATCGACTTCGTTCCAGTCGAACGACGTGAGGGGAGCACAGAAATCGGAATTCTTATTATTGTTCAAGACACATTCTAAGCGGGTCTCTGGCTCGGCCGCTCGCCAAACTCTGAGATAGTCGCCAGATGTGGCTAATAGATCTGGGAATAATCCTAGAAAGTGATCGCATTATTTAGATGTTGAAGATTATAAACGATGGTACAGTACACAGTAAACGAATGAATACCTTTGCTATCTGGTATCCACATAATTTTTGTAGTTGGATAAGGATGATCGAACGTGCTTTTGGCAGTAAATTCAGATGTCTCCTCGTCTAACGAAACTATTTGTACTTTATTGTTGTATTCCTCTACGAAACTGCCTAGAGCTAGACGAAACCTCTTATCTGGCCTCACAGACCAGTTAATGCTGTACAGAGGCCACGGCGCCTCATACTTATATATTTCTTTTCTTTTTGGCGGTACGTTATGTAGCGCCATCGTTTCCTCTTAACTTTATCGCTAAAAAGGATTTATTCTAAATGAACACAGGAATGTGTGTACACAGCGATGTAGATTATCGAACGAAAATTTCTATCGGAATTATTAAAAGAGATAAAATAAGAGGACCAATCGTACCCTTTATAAAACGATATTTATAATATTAATATATCCCCAATTCTGATGTAACATCGTAAGAATAAACGAATAGAAGAATCACTTGAATCTCGACACTAACCTCAACGAATGAAGCGTTCTAAACGCGACCGGCTGGTTTCTCGATCCGTCAGAAAATTGCCAGGCTTTATTCTTTCATAGTAAAGACATCGTCACAGAAAACGAGCTGCCTCGGAAATAATAACGAAACGCGGCTATTTAATTTATAATCTACCATAAAGTTACAGAGTTAACCAAATCTTTTGTGATAATATAAAATGGCGCTCTTTTAAATTTGACAATTTACTTCTATTGTGATCATTTATCTCTGACATTTTTAACGATAACGATGATAGTACGCTGATTCTGATAACTAAATCTTTATCATGTATTAACGTGTAAAATTGTATTAACAAAATATATGATTGCTCAATGAAATGTATATGCTGTAACGATATTTCGGAGATGTATCATTGACGTTTTGATAAAACGTATCATTTCATTCATTACAGTTCCTATAATGTCAGATATCAACATTCGAATGTTACGTTAGTATTACGTGTTTTTATAATGATACCAGTAGCCAGTAATCTGAGTAATCACATCTTTTATTGAAGATCATGCCTTACGTTTAATTATTAATGTATCACCTGTAGCATGCGCGTGTCTCAAGAAATAAGCGGGAGACAATACACAGCCGTGTACTGTAATTCTTAGAGCTTTCTTCATCGCGAAACTATAGAATATTATTTTACATGATTCACAAACAGGTTTCATTCATATAATTATGGATTTTCCACGATATTATACATTTAGGCGGTAAAATAAAATCAGCTGATTGGCTGGTGTGGGCGCTTGGCGCGAAAACGATAAACACCATCACTGAAGGATATAGTTATCGCACCGCTCCCGCACTTTTTCAGTATATTTCACTACGGGATTCCGTGTAAACCGGTGACCTTAGCGATACCGTCGCGTATAGCTAATTCTTTTTCGACTTTTCTGTGACAATCATTGAATTTTACAATGCCGCTACAAGTCTCAACGAAGGAAAACATTCGCAGGAGTTTTGAGAATGTTTCTCTGAAGGACAATGTAAGTTTTATTCATAATTCTCTGTCTATTCGGGATACCTCGAAGGCATATAAAAAAAAACCTCATGCATTTCAATCATATTGTATAAACAACGTACGATTTTTAATAAATTTTAATCTCTGAAGGCTGTGTAAAGTGTTTCTGTTAATTTCTTCAATTCTACTCTTTTTTTCTTATGTACTACATAACATTAGATATGTATAATTGTAGTACATACACTCCTGTCTACCATAGGTGTACCATAATAATTTTACTATGCGGTTTATTCAGAATTAAATTATCGATTTAGTACAATGATCAATTTTAGGTGCTCTCCTATGATTAATTTTACGTACGACGTAAGAGATCGTTGTAGCCGATATGTTAAGAATATTCTCTATTGGCTTGCCATAAATTAAAAGTCTAACCTTGCCTCGCATGTGGAATCGAATACAGAGCATTATTTTCTGTTTTATTAAATACATAAGGAACCATAAGTTACGAAATTATCATAGTTTTCCTTATACTGTTCACGGAAAAACATTGTAACTAATGTATCAAGTATTGCATGTAATTATGCAATACATTAGAGTAATTAATTTCCTGATGTTCCACGTGCCTCTGTTTTGTGAAATGCTATTAAGGAAATTCTTTGTTTCCTATGTAAGCGAAACATGAAATTATATTAAGCTAACACATTATTCTTTAGTCTCATTTAAATTTTTTAGCAACCGTGGTTTCTTTATTTCCAGACTTCTCCGAAGAAATTGTGTGTGTCATCTGTTTCACAGGCTAACGATTTGAAGAATGGGGCAAGTGTCTTTTATATGGATATAATATTGACTTTAAACTTATAATAATACTTATCTATGTTCTTAGGTGAATAAGATGAAAGCTGTTAAAAAAATACAACTGAAGGAAACTGAATTTAATCCTGAATTAGAACCATTACTCAAAGAGAACCCTAACAGATTTGTTGTATTTCCTATTCAGTGGCCTGACATTTGGCAAATGTATAAAAAAGCAGAAGCGTCCTTCTGGACTGTGGAAGAAGTGGATCTCTCTAAAGTATGATCCCTGCAAGATACCATTAAAGTCGTCTCTAAAATTAAAGAGTTTCTAAATGAGCCGTGTTTGATCTGCAGGATACATTTGACTGGGATATTTTAAACGCTAGCGAGAAACACTTTATATCGCACGTATTAGCATTCTTCGCGGCATCCGACGGTATCGTTAATGAGAATCTCGTAGAACGATTTAGCCAAGAAGTTCAAGTGACAGAGGCACGCTGTTTCTATGGCTTTCAAGTAGCGATGGAGAACGTGCACTCAGAAATGTACTCCTTATTAATTGACACATACATCACGGACGCCAATGAAAGGTGAACGACATTCTGTAAGTTCTTAAGTACTTCATACTTCATATTTATATAGGAATTGTTTGTTCGCAGAGACTTTTTATTCAACGCGATTGAGAATCTGCCTTGTGTCGCCAAGAAGGCCAACTGGGCATTAAATTGGATAAACCATGAAAGTGCCACTTTCCCCGAGCGCGTAGTCGCATTTGCCGCGGTCGAGGGCATTTTCTTCAGCGGCAGTTTTGCTGCTATTTTCTGGTTGAAGAAGCGAGGTCTTATGCCCGGATTGACGTTCAGTAACGAACTTATTTCTAGAGACGAAGTCAGTACATGTTACTAAGAGATTCGATTTAAAAGAGCAGAGACTCAACATGTTTTCTTTTCAGGGTTTGCATTGCGATTTCGCTTGCCTAATGTTCAAGCACATCGTGCAAAAGCCGTCTTGCGAACGAGTTACGTCGATCATAAAGAATGCAGTCGAAATTGAACAAGAGTTTTTGACGGATGCTTTGCCTGTTGAAATGATTGGCATGAACTGTAAACTAATGTGCCAGTACATCGAATTCGTAGCGGATAGATTACTCTTAGAGCTAGGTTGCCAAAAGGTTCGTGAAGACTGATTAGAATAATTTTATGGATGAAATTCTGTTCAAGTGATAAATGGATGTTCTCCGTTTTCAGACTTACATGTCCGAAAATCCGTTCGACTTCATGGAGCACATATCGTTAGAGGGTAAGACGAATTTCTTTGAGAAAAAAGTTGGCGAATATCAAAAATGGGGAGTGATGCAAGATAAGATCGAGAACGGTTTTACGGTTAACGCAGACTTCTAATTTAGTATGAATTGACTTATGTGACAGCAGATAAATTGACTTAGTTTTCGTAGCAAACTTTCCCTTGTACAAATTAACGTATTTTTTGTCCGTGTGTATTTTTCTGATTATATTAAGACTTGTTTAAGTTTTCATTATTGATGAATTTTTCTTGAGAACTTTTATATTTTGACGTTTAACATTTAGGATCTATCCGCGAATGGATTTATTGTCCGACGGATTGATATTGTAGACTTATTGCGACTTGATTTGCGTATTGTTACCTGGATAAATATTAGGCTAGTGCTGTAAAACAAGCGCTCATTGGCAACCGGAAGTTTGATACTTCTTCGATTTAAAACTCTATATAGTAAATTTTGTATATGAAACAAATGCACGGAAGCATGTGTAGGAAACCACATTTAAAGATTGGGAACTGAACATTTCAGTATTTGTATAAAGCTTTCATGTGTATATATGTATGTAATTTGATAAATAAAGTATTATTGTAAGCATTCGTAACAATAAATGTTCAATTTTATTATTACAATTACATACCTGCTAAATAGATATATGAAAAATAGGAATATATAAAATATAAATCTCAGTAACAATCTTCTTAACAAACTACTGTTCCACGTTCTTAAAAACAGTACTGTGGAATGTAGATATAAATCATGCATACATAAATTTCAGTATAGAGTGACGCACAATAATCTCTAAATTTATAAGCGATTACATACGTTCATAGTATACATGTTTAAACAGCTTCGACTTGAAAACCATTGCCCAAGCGGTTTAAATAATTTTTACGACACTCCATATTATCAGCTGGTCTATTGTAAGGCAACCAGACAGGCTCTCCCACAAAATAGCGTTTTGCTTTTACATAATTCTACGAAATAACAGATGCATCAAGTTCCTGTAAGGTTTCGACGAACAACGTAATACCTACATTAACGTCCAAAGTGAATCTATGATATATTCCACTGGGAATAATGATCAGGTCTCCAGCCTTAACTTCGATACGGATCCACTGATCATCCTTGTCTCTAACGTCAAAATATCCTGACCCATCCAATACTAATCTTATTTCCTCGTCGGTATGAAGGTGTTCGGTGAAGAAATTTTTCAACTACAAGATTTTAAGTATAAGTGCTCTATTGAAATGAGCATTTTAAATACTACTAACTTTCTCCTCGTAGTTCGGAAGGCATTCCTTCGAGCATGTTATTTCGTCCTCGTACGTGTAACCACGTGTCTTTCGCAATTTAATTAATGTATTATCATTTTTGTAATCGTTGTAATCAACCTGTAACGATGTAAATAAACGATGAAAAGTACATTTATAGTTCTCTCGTTGAATGTCGTAGCAAGGTCGAATTTCAAGTCAACAATTTCACTAACGAATTTCGATTTACTCGCCGCATATGCGAAGTGAGCATTAGTACAATGAAAAAAGAACCGATCGGCCAATTCTAGCGTGATGACAAGTGGAAATAAGAGAGAAATGTTCGTTCAACAATCGTTCGCCTAACCTGGAAATATTCGACACCTGTTTCTTTGAACAAGTCTCCAAGGGAAATATATTTCGGTGGATTTCGATGATGCTCTAATCTTTGATCAGCATCGCTGTTGTCCATATACCACGCGCGGACCATTTTTATTTCCCGATGAAATTCGATCGAAATTGATCACGGTAGGACGTAAATTATTAGCTTAATGACGTAACCTCAGTGATAAAACTATCTGGTGCCGGTAGATTTTTCATTTGAATTGGAAAGAACGCTCGAAGTCATCGAGAGCGACGATACCGGACCATAATTTCAAATTGCAAATCATGTGCCAACTGCATTTACTATTTTAAAATTAATAACTCAAGGTAAGTGCTTTTAATTTTATGTAAATCTTGCCTTTATACATAAATTACTTATATTTTAACGTTTCTGACAACTATATTTCCAGAGACTAGATTTCCAATAATTACATTAACAATGGGTGAACTAAGCGATTTCCACAAAAAGGTGCAAATGTATCTTATGAAGAAGAATCAAGAATTGGGAGAACTGAAACTGCTCACTGCAAACATAACTACTGAGAATAACTCTCACGTTGACGATATATGCAAATCAATGAAGAACATATTCGTGAGCTACGATATACCTATTGCAAAGAACATTGCAATAAATAATGAAAGAGGTATTCAGGCGTACAAATATCTATTATTAAACACTAATTTTGAGAGCCAAGGACGGTTAGCCGAAGATATCGCCAATGGACATTTAGTCGACATGTGTCCACCTCTGTCTCCATTCTTATTTGTGCAAATATTATGGAGCCTAGAATATGAAAAGATTTTAGTCGAATCCCTCTTATATCTACCGTTCGATTTATGTACAGAGATACTGCAACACGTCACGAAGCATATAAATAAATTATCCTACGAAAGACTAAACGAAATTATGTACCAATTGATATTTTATGTACATATCAAGCTCTACCAGCTGAAAGAATTCGGTATACAATCCGCGAAGATTGAAGATAGTATTAAAAACTTGTTGCTCGGCTCCGAGGAATTTCTATTATTATTAAAAGATTCGAAATTGTGCTGCCTGACAAAGGTTTCAAATTTGACGAAATTCGAACGATCTGGTATTTTACTAAAGAAGTTACTTGTCGTGACTAAGAAGTGTTTTCAAATAAAAGACAACGGCATTCCAATTTCCAAAGATCTCGAGAAACTTTATAGCGTCACCTTCGGACGTGAGTCGTTTGTAAAATGCGAAGATGCACCAATGCAAAATGCAATATCCGAGCTAAATGGGCAATTAATTGAATTATTATTGACTAAAGTGAAGGAAGTCGATTGCAACGTTTATTTAGCCTGGGCAGAAATATACGATCAGAATAATGTCATGATTACAATGCAACGTTCTATTGGCATTGAATCTTATTATTTTATAGATTTCATTTCGAAAGATCAAGTATTATCGAGAGCCGCTCATGAATTAACAGAGTGCCTACAGTTCTTGTCTTCTAAACCCTATCCGACGCAGCCGAGTTTTGTTTTAAGCATAAAAGAACTGTGCGATGCATTAGGAAGCGGTAGGAACGAGCTAATGGAAGAGCTCTTAACAAGATACAAAGAATGGGATCGTACAACAATAGAATTCCTCGACACCAATAAAACGTTGCTAGATAGTAAAGGCTGTTCAATTCTGTTAGAATATCTTATTTTTATTCTTCGGCAAACGACGATAAACTCGGACGACAAGGAGTACTGTTACCACACAGTGATGAACATATTGTCGTATCAAAGTATGTCGGATCTATACCAAATCGTGATGCTGTATTTAATGAAGTACAATGGTAAAAATTACTTGGGGACCCCCGAAACGTGCGAAAAATTCCTCAAATATATCAGATGTAACGCGAATGTACGAAATGGCAGCGTTTTAAAGATGGTCCTGCTGTTCATTTTGAAAGATCTCAAGGGGATATTAACTATACTTCTGAAGATAGCCATCGGTCGTTTGGAGTACAAACACATCATGATCGCTCCTCTCGATATACTATTATTATCATCGTTCCTTCAAATAAGGGATGGCAATAATGAAATGCTCGTAACGTCCATCTTAAGAACCATCGTTACAGAGAATAGAGAATGGATTTCAAAAAGATTCACGGACTTGATGATCGTTCTGTTAGAAAATTCCGTGTTGCAACTGCACGAATTGGTGAACAATGTTATCATAGCATATTTGTTGGAAAACACCTTGATCATATCGAACATGAACACTGTTCTTAATTTGATGCGCATGTTTCATGTTAAACACACCAAAGATTTGTATACTAAAGATTTAGTAACTGCTCTCGCCTGGAGGATGTCTTCCATTCGAAAGAATTTAAGCATTTCGAAATTTGCCAGCAGCCATATACTGCTTCTCATAACGAAAATAGTGGACAAAATTAAAGGTGAAATCGTTCCCCTTTCGATTAAGGAAAGTATGGTCAACAGATTGGAATTAGTCATGGAACCGGCGGACAGACCGCATTTCACACCCTTCTGGCAATTACGAAATATACCTTGCAATAAAGGCGTAAGATTTGTCATAGAGGACTACGAGAGACGTTGTTTTTGCGTGTTGAACAGATTGAAAGAGGATCCGAAGACCCCGGAAAAGTTGCGACAGTCTCTGATGAACTTCAATTTACTGAGGGAAGACTTCTTCCATCATCTGATCATTCGCGCGACCGAGGAAGAATATGTTATGTTTTTCACCGATCTTGTTTTAACTTATTACTCGCTTTTCAATTGGAGCAACGAGGTCGAGGCATATTGTAATATCACGCGTTTAACGATAGAAGCGTGCTGCTTGTATCTGGAATTTCCAAGTATCGGTGCAAAGGACACGTTTCCGTTTTTGATCAAGAATTTTACTCATTACTGCAAGCTGTTCATGACCCTCAGACGAATTTCCAATTACGAAAACGTATACGACACGATATACGACAATTTAATTCTAAACATGAATCTGCTCAACGAAAGCGTCAAATATAGCAGCTACGATTGGTTCTTCGCCGAGTGTCTCCTAGTCTCGACTGAAAATCGCACAGAAGACCAGACGACAAGATTGTTAGGGCACAAATTGGCCACTTTGGAACAATTCGGTGATCAATGTCATGATTCGGGTATCGAACCGTATATAGAATCGGATAGGCCGACGCCGAGAAAGATGATCAATTTTTACGTAGCCCACGAAGTAATTTCTGCTTGTTTAAACGTATCTGCGATCGATTCCAATCAATGTTTGGAAAAACTGAACATGATATTTTCTACAAGATAAATAATTCGAACAATCAAAGTCGTTTAAAAAAATCGAACGATCTCTTATCCCGATATCTGTATATTCTTTTGTACATGAAATAAACGAGTTATTACATTTTTTGTTACGTTTGATCAGAAAATTGGTTTAACTTTATGACTACGTATCCTTATCGTTCGTGTAGAATTATGCAATCTTTCAGGTGTAATTAAAATTCTAATTTGATTTCTATACAGAGTAGGTGTTGATCAATCAATACAGATTGCCGTTTGTTTTTTTATTCTATATTATATTTGTGCGATATTTCCAAAATGCCAGTACAATGGTTAGTAATAAAAAAATGTGAAAAAATTGCATACAAAGAAAAAATGTGCACCAGTATTGAGACGGAGACAAATCAAATGGGTAGCTTCCTCGGGATAGTCTCAATGCCGTTCATGGAAAAACCTGGTCTTCGATATGGAACAAAATTACTGTATCAACCTATCGCCTTTTAAAATTAAACTCTTCCCTTGTTTTTATAATGATTAATCAGTGCGATTCATGCTATACCTTAACGAAACGATCGTTCCAGTCTAAAAACTAGACGATAGGACGATACGATTCTAACGTTACGAACCCCTTATCAGTAAAATCATCGTCTTTCAAGCATATCCATATTATAACACATTTTTTCCACGTCATTGAGTTACAAGATTCCTATAGTGACTAGATTCTTATGCTGGTAATATAAACGGAACGAAATTTGGCAATGAACGAAAATAACCGATACACGAAATTAGATTTTCGTTACTTTTAAGTTTCTCCTCGCTCGACGCGAGGAAAACTCGTTACAGATTATCTTCGGTCGCGTTAAACAGGGAAACACACGACGGCTACATGATTTTACGCTTCACGTATTTTTTTTTTACTTCGTTCGCTACTAGTAAAAAATAATGCAAACCTTCGTCGGTTCCCGTGTATTTCTCTTTTCGACGCGCACCGGAGCTAGCTAGAGATGCGAGGAGTAACTCGTATTACCAGCAAACAATTTTCGCAGGTGATATCGCGTACGAAGTTGTCTCGAGTATCCGTTTCCCGTCTACCCAAGTGATATTATTCGCTTGAACGCAATATTCGAATCCAATCAGAGAACAATGTACCAAAAGAGAACAGACGGCTAAAAATAAAGGGAAACAGCAACAAAATAACGTAATTATAGTAAAGCATCGTCGTTTGTCAATGAAATGCACATTTTTTTACTGCAAGCCATTCTCGTTTGTTGCTTTCTTTTTTTTTTCGTATGTCAGATCAGTAATTTCCTTCGGTTTCTTTCCATTTTCTCATTCATTAATATTAATTATTATTATTATATAATTCGACGCTATAATATTTACAGATTCTTCACATTGTAAAAAATATAACGTATTTCGTACTCAATATCAATACGCAGGTAGTACAGAAAGGCCGATATACATCTAAATCGTGGTGTTTCTCGAATTAATGTGACCCAGTTGCGTAACAAATCTGCATGTATACATATATATTGTATATATATATATATTTATATTTATATCATTCATTTATTTATTCATTTATTTATACCTAATTATAAAACCGTATGCGAATCGTTTTTGTTAGGTGGTGAATTCTTGTGCTTTCTTTCCCTAAATATGTTTTTCCTTAATAAACAAAACGAAAAAGAATAGAATTGAAAATATCTGCTGGCCGGGAAACAAGGAAGAAAACGAAACCTGGTCCTTGACACTTGATATGCTCACTCAGACGAAGCTCGATTTGGTTTTTTTCTCTCTCATTAAATTATCGATAGCTTTCCAAGTACGTAGAGGACAATTATATCATTAGTTAGTTAGTTTTCGTATTTTAGTTAGTTTTCTTTTCGCGTACAAAAGTTTCAGCGCCGTTCTTTAGAAAAATATTCTTAAAACCGCGACCTCGCGTGTCGGAGAAATGTGTGCGTCTTAACATTTGGAAGCGATACAAATATAGAAACTTCTTTTCCCTTTACGTATTCCCTTTTTCGCCTGTATATTAGTATGTGTCTGTGTCACGCCTTAAATACTTAGAAAGCTATCCCGCGGGAAGTCGACGAGTGTCCTTTTTACTTTACATTTCCTCCTTTTCTTCCTGACCGAACCCCCTCCCGCCCCGCTCGTTTCGTCTTTTTGCCGATCTATGGTTTTCGCGTAGCACAAAAAACCCGAGGAGGGTGAGAAAACGTAACGATAATAGAGCGAGAGCGATTACACGTACCACAAAGAGGCCCTTTGATTCGCCGTTTGAAAGGCTTCTATACGCGGTTATTATCGTCGTCTTTTAATAGAAAAACTGCGGTTATAATCTACGGGATCACAGCGAGCCTATGAATTTTCCGAGTGACAAAATAGAACGATACGAACAATTATTATATCTGCAGAACCCCCTCCCCCTCCCACTCCCATTCTTTTTTTCATTTCCATTTTGTTTCTTCCTCTGCCTGTTTCATATTATGTAGTTGAGTACATTAACGAAATTGATGGCCGATTCGCTAAGTCGGTATATACGCTTCACCAATCTTAAAACTGACGAAACGTATTATAGCACCCTTGATTAGTCGAACACGCGTAGCTACTTTGGATTCACTCTGGTTCGAGTATGTTTTTCCCTTAGTTTCGTTTCACTCTAACAGTTCACGATTATTTTCAATGTACACGTTATTACACACGAATGCTAACATTTTGGAATGAGAATAAAAACGAATACGAGTAGAGAATTACATTTAGCCTAATAGCGAACTAACTAAATGAACTAATTAAACTTAAACGTCTGTGAGAATTGACGAGTGTCGCGATGTAACAGCGTTCAATGCACAAAGTTAAATGCTTCGACATGTTCACGGAGAGAAAAGCCACGCGTATTCGCTACGAAACGACGTTTCTTAAAAGTGCACCGACAAATTCTAGAGAACGAATTAAACGTACGATCGATAATTCTTCCCAGGTATTCTGTGTATCGTCGGACACGTTGTTAATTACTTTTTTTCCCCACTAACTACCAATGATAGAAATACTGTACATCAGTCCGTTTGAAACTCCTCAGTTCGATGCTCTCCGACCGTTCGATCGGAATCTTGGGAAAAGATATCGCTCGTGTACAATTCAACATTCGCAATCGATCCGAAAGACAGGTAATTATCGAGAGACGAACAAGTATAGATTATTTATACAAACTATAAATACAAGTTTCGCTTTTTTTTTTATAATCGGATTGGAATCGGGATCGACGATCCCTCGGTTAAGTTCATAAAAATGAAACGAGAAGACAATGTAATCGAATGTTCGCATGATTTTTGTTAAGGTACGTCGTGCAGCGATCACACGGAAATTAAATGACTTCGATGGTGGTAGCGTTAAATAATAACATATCGAGCTAATATAATGACTGTTATGGTATAAAAGCGGTATTTAACATCGGATAATATGATTTTTTTTTTGATCACACGAGAAAAATTACACACGACCTACTACTACTTGTAAGGGAGTCCATTGCTTCTTATGCCTTCGTTTTTTTTTTACATCTAACCATTTTACATTCACGAACTGAACGATAATCGAAAGGAGATTTTCTGTGTTTCGTACAAAGCAATGGATAATATTGGATATTATTACGAGTACCACATACGTATCTTGCAGTTGAAGGGATCAATGTACCAGCAAGCCTTTGTGAGAAAAGGACGTTTCAATGTGTCGCCTCCGGTCGGTTTAAAATTTTCTATAAAACGTCTTGCCATTGTATAAAGATGTTGTATTTTTCATGCTTCTATCGCGTACACACTTTACCGTATAAATCCTATAATTATTTTTACGATTGACGTTATGCGTTAGTGTTCTTTAATATTACTGCAATCTCCTTTCTTTCCCACGTTCCATTTCGGTTCCTTTTCGTTGTGGCTCGATCAACCAGAGCACTAGATGCCTTGCTCCCATCTCCCGTTCGAACAAAGTAACAATCCTTATAGAAATAAGAATATGTAGAATATCTGCTATGCAATGGAATCATTGAAATCCATAAGAACACAACTCCTTGAATATATGGTCTCAAGTATAAAATCCTATCGTTTGATGACCATCCTCGATTCTCCGTGTTCGTCTTAATAAAATATTACTTCTACTATTAAAACTGTACAATCAATACCAGTGCCACCAGCAACACGTCGTTCAAGCCTTCTGTACAATGCAATTTTTCTACTGCAGCCTCTGATGATTGAGCACAGGTAATATATTGTTAACGGAAATCATTGCACAATGCTAATCTAAGACTCGTCTGTCTTCTTCTTTATCTTCTTAATCCGTGACTGTACATTGTAAATGATATCTGCTCCAACGTTACAAATTCTTTTAATCGAATCCAAACGACCAACGACCACAGTGATTCCTTCAATGTCTGCAAATAGTTTTCGATGCTTCCGTTGATCGGCATCTTGATCCGAGAGTAACAGAGAGATTCGTGGACTGGAACAATGGGAAACGTGATGGGCGTGCTTCTCCTAGATTGAGCAGAAAGCTAGATAAATCGAATTTGGTTTCGCTGTTAACAAGTAACAACTATCGCAGGGCAGTTTTGTTATTACTTCCCTTGTCCACCCTTATTCCGTTGTGTTCGTCCACTCTCTCACTCATTTTCCTTTCGAGTATTGGTCCTTTGCTGACGGAGTTACCTCTTTCATTGCCCACTTACATCTATTATTATATATTACAATAATATTACACATAATACTATCCATGTATATTAAAATATTTAACAGCCAGGCAAATAGCAGGCTGTGATTTTCCAATAGAAAAAGAACCAAGAGACGGCATGAGTTTTTGACGTATTCGAGTTTCACAAAAATCCGGAGTAGAATCGTTAATATTAGTCTTCTCAGATTGGCGAATTCACAGCACATGCCCAACAACGTTTGAGCCTAACGGAGAGAGAGCGTAGTCACTGGTTCCTCATCCTCGGCCAGTGTACTGCGATCAGCCACTATTTTTCGTTATTCCTTTACCTAGTTTGGCTCTCGGTTCGAGCCGCGGTGCAGGATTTTGATTAATTATTAGAGGACCACGCAACAGCAGTAGCTCTTCTTCTCTTTCTCCGGGCTGACGTTCATCTCGCGTACGATCTCGGCGAACACCTCGTTGACGTTGGTGCGACTCTTCGCGGATGCCTCGACGAATGGGCAGCCCCAGAGCTGAGCCAGTGCGTTACCCTCGGCGGTGTCCACCTCGCGTTGATGCTCCAGGTCGAGCTTGTTCGCGACCAGCAACACCGGCACCCTCTCGGTACCCTTGACGCGCGTTATCAATTCCTTCATCGCTTTTATGTCCTGGAAGGTCTGGTGATTCGTCAGGCTATAAACGACGACGAACCCTTGCCCGTTCTTTATGTAAAGATCGCGCATACTCGCGAACTGTTCGGTGCCGGCGGTGTCGAGGATCTCGAGGACGCACGGCGAGTTGTCCACCTCGATCTCCTTTCGATAAAAGTCTTCGATCGTCGGATCGTACTTCTCCATGAAACATCCCGAAACAAATTGCACGGTGAGTGCACTCTTGCCTACCCCGCCCGAGCCGAGGACGACTACCTTGAACTCGCGCATCTCTTTGGCAGATCGCCTCCGTCTCCTCCTCCTCCTCCTCCTCGACGTGTCCAGGACCGAGAGGAAGAAGGCTCTCTTTCTCTCGAGTACCTCGAGCGGATATTATCCCGTCGCACGTTTTTCCTCGGATACTCGAAACACTTTCAAGACAACCGAGCCACCACCGATACTAACTCCGTCCTCGCAACGTTGATACGAACGTGTTAGACTGAGAACGTTTCTTATTGTCGAACAAAGGCATTGATGATGATGTTACTGGATTATGCGTCGTGCACTAGGTATCACCGTAATTAAGACGTAGCCGTTGTTCTTAAGGCTCGAAGAAGACATGACAGCACCCGTATTCGCACTCTCTGTCACACACCGCAGTCCCCTGGCGACGTTCGCCTGTGGCCTGCCTCCTTCCTGTCTTTCCTCTACCCCTCACTTCTTCCCTAGCTCTGACGTGCGTGACGCCATCTTATCACACTTGGATTTTCTTTGAGCTACCTAAGCGAACATTCGGCCTCTACCTCGTCTCGTATCGTTTCGCTTTCCAACTACATTACAGTTTACGTCCACCCAATATATATCTTTCCTACGCTTATTTTCTAAGGGCCTAATATCGGGCCTCAAGTCTCGTTTACAATTTTTCCCGTCGTCACTGCTCTCTCCTCTTCTGTACCGGTCGACGGTTCGTCATTTCCATTCGCGTTACAAAACTCAGACGAATAGCGCCGTCGTTCCAACGGAAACTGACGTTCACTCTATTTCTTTGTGTACGCAACCATACTACCCGAAGAAAATAGTAAGAGAAGAATTACGGAAACTCCCTTTACCGGATGCAAGTGTCATTCTCTTATCTTCCAGACAGCACTATCCACGACCTCGACGCTCCCAAGCGTTCAGTGAGTTTTATTAATATTACCAAAACATTCCTCAAAACCGTACTCGAGCAACATTCACCCGCCTCATTTCCTCTTCGATAAATATTCTACACATAATATCATGCGTTTCCTATTCATCAAATGTCTCGATAATTACGACTTAACATAGAGTTATATTGTCGAAACAAAAACCGTGCGATTTGCGTAGAATTGTTTAAAATAAAAGAATCACGATGCTAAACTGGGAGCGCGAATTTGTCATATGATTCATCTCGAACTGGTTACTCAGAGTTGATAATGTTTGCGATTTAAATTGTATCTCTGCGAGAATGCAATTTTACTGACTATATGAGTCATTAAGCAGCAAAACATATGTTCCTCTTTCATGAGGACACTGCATAAGCGTGGATCTTTAAAATAGATCGTACTTACATATGTACGTATGCAAATGGAGAGATACTGAAATAGAAAAATTCGATTTTCCTAGAGTGTGTTCGTCGCGTATCGTTACCAATCATACTCTTTCATTCACGTTCAGACGAAAGTGAGAGAGCGAGGGGGGAAGAAAGACAGATACGGCTCGAGAAGCAACACGTAAGTTCTGTGTTTCGTTTTTCGTGAACGAAGGCCGGGTATGTAGATATACATAAATGCATGATTTTCTGAAAAACCGGAAGCGCGTGGTTGCTACCGTATCTTGCGGTTTACACTGGCTTCCCATTTCTTTTACGTTCGTCTGTGTCGCATGTCTCTTTGTGTGTGGACACTTCATTCCAACACCGACGACCTTGTGGTATGCGAACGCAGACACACGTGAGACACGATGACATCATCAGATGAAAGTGTACATAACTGCACAATGCATCACTTTTCATAGTTGGCGACGAACGGTGATGATTAGTCGGTGAGAACCGATTCTCATCGATCATGTGAAAAACCGTATCTCTTACAACGATACAGAATGATTCGATAAGGATATAATCCCTTTCTAATCAAAGACACAAATAATCAATGTATTCCTCATGTTCCTAATCTAATAGAAGATGAACCTTTCGACTTTCGGTGGTAAGCATCTTTAAAAAGTCACATACGATGTGATTGTATCAAGGACAAATATCGAAGTACTCATAGTACTCGCATTTTCTACTGTAAAAGATTGAATAGTAAATCAAATAAATAATTACACGAGGATAGCTTCGTTGAAGAATGCATATGTGACTCTCGAAACGCGCGAGTACTTATCGCCGCTCTTATCAACGATTTTCAGTTGCCACTAATTAGGGCAGCGCCGAAACTTGGCTCGTACGATATCAATTAATATAATTTGTTCGTCCGTTCGCCGTGAAAAGCGTAATCAGTGCGTGTTCGATTGCGTGCGCTCGTATTGAAAAAAATCGTGTATCAACGAAAAGTTATCGAGGACGCAAACGAGGAAAACGTCGATTAGGCCTCATGAGACCTAATTCAAGGCTATTAAAAAGTAGCGCGTACAATAAAGCAGAAACTAGTTTAAAGTGTTATTCTTTTTCGATCTGCAATAAATTCTTTCGTCCATATTTATGTGTATTTCAATTTAACTCTCCCTGTCTTTTATATACTACTCTTATTATACGTGTATCAATTATAATTTTTATAGTATTCGCTTGGGTTGTCGATGACAGACGTATCTAGAGACAAAGGATTATTATGAATGAAAAAAACGCGTGTGTTATCGGCTATAGTTCATACGGTTCATATCCTCTCGTAAAGTACAATGACCTTTACCAGCGGACAATGACCTAACAATTTCAATAGCATAAAATAAACAGTGTCACGATTAGAGTTTCGTCACCGTGCGTTCCTTGCCGTAACTACACTTTCAATGCAACCGCTTGATTGATAAAGAAGACCGTATTATTATCGATGAAAAACCGTAACCTCTAAACAATATCGAAGTAAAACAAAGGATAGACAAAGCTGTTCGACTGCTCACTTTTATACAGATTCAAATTTTCACAGGCTTCACAGTAAGTTCTTCAGATGTTTCAACTCGAAGAACCTAGACGCACAATGTTTTTTTGTAGAATGCAAATCACCTATTTTTTATTCCTGCTTGTATTTATACATGTAACGACGATCCGCACTAATGCTATGTGTGTTATTGAACTTGCAATAATTAGAATAAAAAAGAAATGAAATATTCTTGTAAATAATAAGGATCACAGAATTAGAAATGGATTCATCTAACTCGTCACCAATGGACGTTATCGCAACTGCACCGGCGCCGGGTGCATTCTCTCGTCCAGAACCTGGAAACGTGCTACCCGGGACCTCAGAACCCGGACCTGAATTGTCGCAAGGTAAGATTTTTCAGCTTGTCTACTTCGTATCCGTAAATACCTTCTGCAATTATTGTCACACACTTGCGAATCTCCGAGAGTGATAAAGGAAATTTACGGCACTCGTGGCATTGTTCTTTATCAGATGTAGTCAAGATAATCGTATTTAGATACCGCGACTTCGATAACGCGCGCGTAAGGAGTGCCTATTTCGTGTTTTCGTTAAGAGTAATAACGAAGTCGTCAGTTTAAGTTCGGAAGATCACCCTAAGAAATACATCTTAAGTTGGCCCTTTTATTCGTAAACTATTTAAAATATGGAATCGCTTAAAATTCTTGGCGTTCCTTTAACTTGCCGAACACTTGTAAAATTTCTCCAGCGTCCTGGTAGGTAGTCGCTACCTAGTTTTATCGTTCAACAACATCATTATCTGGGTTCGGGGGTACGAGAAGAGCGGCTCGTAAACGAGACACGATACAGCCGCTGTTTGCCAAGCGACGATCAGTAAGTAGATAATAGTCGTCTTCGTTGATGGAACCGTCACGTATGCAGGATAAGTGACGTCCAGTTTCGTGTCTCCATGACTCCCGTGCCTTTCTTATCGGTGGTAAATACTATTCGCATTCGTGACACGGTATCGGGAAGATCAATTTTCGATGGGAAAAGTTTGTATCGTTCCTCGAGAGTGACGTGTACTTGAATATTTGCGTGTTGTTCGTCGTCCGGTTTTTATTAATCGTTTTCGGTCGAACGATATTAAAGTGATGCTGTAACGCAGTGCTCGATCCTCGGAGTACGAGGTATCCCTCGCAGTTCGTATTACGATTATCTCGTCACGGATGAATGTGGAAACTCTTCGTTAGGGTCAGAGTTGTTAAATGATTACACGGACTTCGTGGAGGCGGAGCTCCTCCGATACGGAGACGGATTTCCCACAATGAGAATTTTTCTTCCATCCACTATCACTTTGTTTTCTTCCTCTGTGAAGACGGGGTGGAAATAAAAAATGCGATAGAAGTGTCTGCGCCGGAGGTATACCAGAACGCTGATTCGTATTAACTCGCAGAAGCATTTTCCAAGTTTTAAACTCGTCGAGTGAAATTTCAGTTGTGCCGAGGTGATTCACGATTAATTAACGCCGCGGTAAGATTAAATAATATTCTGGCCAATTTATATGAAACGGTTCGTCTAGCCGGACGTGCGTCGGCGGGCTGGCAATTTGCAACCGGCCAAGGGCTGTAATTATGTCGCACGAAATCACGTTTCCGTGGAGCTTCAATTCCCGCTTTGTCAGTCGACGTTCGCTGCTTCGTTAATTAAAATTCGTAGCGCTGCGATAATCGATTGCTCAGCGAAATAACAAGAATCCTATCCATTTGAAGTACGTACGCGGATATTCGAATCGTATCGTAAGGCGACACGTTCAACGGTCGGAGAACCTTCAGTGACCGAAGAACTGTTATTGTTTTCTTTATCTATAAACGATAACGTGAAAAAACCGACCGACCTAAGGACCTAAATCTGTCCTAGGAAAAGTACACACGTTTTATCGTTTCTTTGAGGAGGACAAGCTTGAGAAAACAACCGATCCCAATGCGGCTTCAGTGATACCGATTCGCGCGTCAAACTAATTTCTTCATTAAAATGAAATACATGCGATCAGTTGAGTAATAATTGAATCTGTGCTAAACGCGAGTGATGGAATCAGAATATTTCGAAACATCTTGGAGAGCAAAGGTACAACAAATTCGACGAAGGATTCGCAGCTTAGTTAGGGACACTGTAAAAAGGTATCGGTCAAAGAGGAAGGGCTACACCAGATTCCTCACAGACGAGGAGAGAAGGTGCTTTAACGCTCCACTAAACGTGAATTTAATCTTGAAGAGAGATCGGAAGAACTGTATATTTTCAATTCTGTGATTTAGGTGGTTGGTCACCGTTGAGTACGATCTGTCCACCCGGCTTGGAATTCCTTATACCCCTTGATCAACTGCGCGTTCGAAGGAAATTAGGTCGGTCTTTTGTAAATCTTTAATTAACAACTCAGGTAACAAGCGCGTAACGACGAATGCTTGCAGGAATCCTCGACCCAGGATACGTGTATAAGGTAATGAATAATAGAAATGAGAAGTTACTTCGTGTCTGGGAAGAATCGAAAATGTTCGCGCGTTCCGTTTATGGGAATTATCGAAATTGTGATATCTACGCGGAGAACGTTATCAACGGTACTCGAAGAGAAGTTCTACGTATGGTCCGAGACTGGAGATGGAAATGTAATTGGTGCTTGTGCTGTTCGCAGGTATTCATTTCATTCACGATTTCACCGTAGTTTGCTCGGGGTTCACTGTATCTATTTTTCTCACTCGATATTTCTTCGTTCGCTTTTGCGCGCATCGCGTTCGTGCGCCTGCATTTGTAATCGTACGACTATATTTCGTCCGGACACAGTCACGTAGGTAGGTAGTCAATCGGTTCGTGAAGGACACGTCCGTCAGGCAACGTTACCGTAATTGCCTCTTTATTTATGGCGGCCAATGGGTACGGTTTGCAGAACGTGGCTCGAACATGCGGCGCGCAGCGCGCGAACTTTCTTCACACGTGCGCACCATCTGCGACGATTACCTTTGACGAAAAGTTAGTCGGCCCATCAGAAAACCCGGTCACGATCGATACTCTTTGACCAGCACCGCTCGACGCTCATAATCGCGTTGTTCTCGGCTTATACTCGGAGAACCGTTTGTTCTCCTGTACATTATACTTGTAGAAGCAGTCGAGCCCTTTCGCAAACGTTACTGGGCACAAATGATTGTTCTCCAGAAGCGTTGCGAATTATATGTCCATTATTGCGTTCATAAAACGTCGAGAAGTTTAATTTCGTATGAACGGCGAGGGTGTTCCGATTTCTACGCGTCCACCGTTATGCGCAACATCTGACCAACGGAAAACTGATACGAGCATGCACCGGACGAGGTGCTGAATAAACCTTTTCTCACGTTCATTGTACACGCGAATTCCTTCAATCGGATCTATTAATAGTAGCGCGTAAATTTTTCACAGAGGACGTTGAACGCGAAATGAAATTCTAATAGAATTTACTCTGTTCTCGTTTAGCGATCAATTATAAATAACTGTTTTAATATGGATTGATCAATTTATGAATAATTTTCAGGATTTAGATATTTATTCCGGAGACACGTTGCTCGGTTCTGTGAGACAGAACGCTGTCTACTTTCGAGGATCGTTTTCTATTTGCGACGCATCTGGGGAAACTGTTTTACTCGTAGAGCTACCTTACTTTGAATGCGGGAGGATCAAGGTAGTGCAAACAATTTCACAATGGCGAAGGTGTATCAATTTGTAGCTAATTATATTTCTTACCCTTCAGATAAAGTCTGCAGATGGTGTGCACACGCTCGGAGCAATCAGGCACGCATGGAACGGCGCGTGTTCAGGATTAAGTCTGAACGATTACGAGATAACTTTCCCCCCGGATCTCGACGTGAAAATCAAGGCGGTTTTACTCGGCGCCTGTATTTTAATTGTAATATTAATTCATTAGAACAGATCTAATATAGATAAGGATCTCAACATAGATCATCGTACAGATCCCTATATAGATCAAATGTTGGTACATGTGCTAGCTCATATGGTATATGTGTGTGTTTTAGGAAATCATATACTTCGCGACAAGGTACATTACTATGAGCACGTCTCAAATCGCATATGCGAGTTCGGACGTTTCGTACATTCCTCAGTACCTTCGACCTGTTCCATATGCTCCGTCTACGTATCCTAGACAACGATGAAAGAGGACGACGTTGATTGTATCGCAAATTGTGACTGATCTATTTCTCAAGATCTATGTTTCCGATCTATTTTTTGACGATCGATTTTTATACTAATAGACAATAAATGCATAATGTTTTTAACGAATATATACTCCGTCAGGATTTTTGTATGAAATATTGTATATCACTCTCTTCCCTCCATAAAATGTATTTTATATACCATTCAGAATCTTGAGAACATCGCGTTCTGTTATGTTAAAAGACTGACGTACGTCCGATATCACGAGCGTCAACTACTGTTATCATTCAGATTTCTATCCAAGTTTTCGACGAAGATTTTTAAGTACATCTATCTACAGCTTGTGGCTGTAAATATTTCCCCTATCAATGGCAGACTGTAAAAAATTGTTCCATTTTTTGTGTTACGAGCGCCCGGTCTACATACTTTAACAGATTATATCGTGAAGTAGTATATTCAGATTTTTGTAAACGCGATTTATATTGTACATTATGTCGATAGATGTTCTCATGTTTCCGTGGATTTTTCTCGGGATGTAATAAAAATGATTTCTAATAAAAGAATGTGATTAATCTACCACTGACCTCGTTATTAGTCCTATGGAAAGGGATGACTCGGAAACAGCGGAGCAGGTAAGGAAAATGGAGCATCGTACGTATGTCCTTTTATTTGGATCTTGAACTTCACATCTTCGTACATCTTATCGAGAAACTGTTACCGCCTCAGCTGCAGCTCACTTAACATGCGTTATATCCGTCGCAGATGTTCTCGGTCACGAAAAAGACGAGAATAAAAAAAAGCCACACGCGTTTAACATCCTTTAGTACACGCGCCGCGATCCTACAGACATTGGACTCGCACTTTTTTTTAATACGTTAAGGACCGGAGTTGCGCGCTTAAAAATGGTGGGATTTGACTCGATCACCGCGGCCATGTTCAAGGGATCATTTTCGCGGGAAGAGCGATACATCGTTTCTCACCAAAAGTAACTTAAATTTCGTGAAACCGATGATAATTTTTGTAAAAATTGAAAGTATCGAATATGAATTCTTTCTTTTTCGTAAAACAAGGAACCTCGGTCTGTTTCTTAATATTATTTCAAGAAGAGTTTGTCGAGAATGTTCAATCAATGGCAGTTCAGATAGGTGATTACAAAGTTTAACGGACCCCTACGGAATTTCGCAGACGCTTTGTACTAATAACTCGGAAAACTGCTTACTCTCTCTTCCAAATCGGCACACATCGATCCCTTGCACTTCAGTTAAACGATTTTGATTCCCTCTGGCGCGACGGGAACAGAAATTACCGAAATCGGCTTCTCGCGTTTTACACCGTACAAAAATCCGAGTCTAACTGACCGTTTCGCGAATTCTGATCTAACGACCTGTTCGATCAACGACTAACTTCACACGGAACGATACTTTCATAGATGGATAGTAGTTTTTGTCTTTTTAAAACCTCGTTACGAACATTGAGGAATTCTTTTTCATTTAATAAGTTTGCGGGTACGAATACTCTGGGCAAACAGTGACGGCGAGGGAATGAAACAAGGTCTGAGACGAAACGAATGAAATAGAGGAAATGAAAGAATACTGCGTGTATTTTTTGCTACATGTTGGATATTACATGTTTTTAGAAAAAGAAAGAACGGATAGTGGTTGAGACGAAAATAAAAATACTGCTGAAAATAGTAATGCGTATCTTTCTCCTGTTTTTTTCGTTTTGTTCATATGGATCGATAGAAAGGAACTTCAGTCAATATAAGAGAACAATAATAATAATAACGATAATAATAATAATTAATAATAATAATAGTAGTAGTAATAGTAACCGTAACAGGTGTGTAGAAGGGGCCAGGAGCGTGGAGACGCGCAAAGCTGACCGTTCACGATAAGAATCCCAGACATTACTCGTAACTGAGGATATCTACGCGATCCGATCTCTAGATCTCGACTAGGCGAACTAGGACTTCTCTAGAATTCGTTTCACCACGAACGGTGCTCATACGTCGCCTCTATTTGGAACTCTAAGAACGCGCTCGTAGCTGCGTGAAAAGAGGTCTCAGCACATCGAGGACCGATGAACGCCTACCTAAAAATTGGGAGACAGAATAGTTCTCCCCTCTCTTTAGTTTATTCCACGTTACAAAAACCTGTGGATCAAGAAATGCCCCATTGTCTTTTAGAAATCGTTTCATTTTCTTCTTCTCTTTCTCGTTTGGAATACATTTTTTTTTTATCTTCTCCCGTTCGAAGTAGAGCGAACAGACGACACGTTTCAAACGTAAATCATTTTTTGCAAACCCGCTTCTCTTTCGTCTCGGCGGAGAACAATGTGAAGATCAAAGAATTGTTTTCTCTATCCATAAGGAGGGATCCTCGATGTATCAAGAACATCTAAAGGGCAAATAAAAGAGGGAATTGATCGCATGTTGCTTCGTATTTTTTAAAGTTCCTTCTCGAGTTTGATCAGCTCGGCGATTCCATCGTGCATCTCCTTCACAGCCTGGTACTCGGTCAGGCCGAGGCGCCGTTTGTTGGAGATATCGTAGATACCGCCCTCGGCCTCGGTGTGCTCGCCGCGGGTTCCACGGACCTGGAGGTTGAACTTTCCTGCGATCTCCTCGAGCTTCGCCCTGTTCGCGGCCAGCTTGGGCAGCTTGATGTGCACCGAAGCACGGACCGTAGTGCCCAGGTTGGTCGGGCAGAAGGTCAGGAAACCGAGACGGTCGTGATGAGAGAACGGAAGCCGTTTCTCGATCTCGTTCACGGCACCCACCAGACGGCGATACACCTGACGGACATTGATCATTCGTTTTTGGAATACTTACATCCGGGATATGCGTGTGCAAGTTATTTACCTGTCCAAGATCGCCGCCCATTTGCATGGAGATGATACGGAGATGATCCTCCTCGTTGCACCAGACCAGGAAGGTCTTAGCGTCGTTGTGGAAGATACCACGACCGGTGGGCCAGAAGCGGCAAGCGTTGGCAGCTTGCAAGAAGCGGTCACCCTCCTTGAAGAGGAAGTGATCGTCGATCAACTTTTGCTGGACCTCTTTGCTCATGCCGGTCAGGGGATAGAAGGTTCCCTTCAGTTCACCCTCGAGACCAGACAGCGTGCTGGAGACCTTCTCCTCCATCTCCTTGTACTGAGCCTCGGTCAAGCATGGGTTGAACGGGTAGCCATCCAACGAGCGACCGCATCTCACACGGGTGGAAACGATGAATTCACTCTGGAAGAGCAGCAAATTATATTTTCTCGAGAAGATCAGCGACTAGGATTCACAGTGTTTCTTGTACTAACAGCTGGGTCAAGATTTCCGAGCGTGTCGACGTCTCCAAAGTCTTTCGGCGGATGCTTGTCCGTCTTCTTGAAGCCACCGTGGTAATCCTCGATGATCGGATCGAAGAGGTCAGCAAAAACTGTGTAGGACTCGGCGTCCGGGGCGTAGATACCGACGCCGGAGTCCAGGTTCTCAACACCGGACTGGATCACATCGAGCAGTGTGGAGCCGAAGGAAGTCTTCTTTGTCTTCAGCTGATCGAAGACCTCCTTGGTCAGATACTTCTTCAGCAAGGACTTGCTGTCGGAGGAGGACACTTTGGCAAAGCCAGCCTCCAGTTTATCCAAAACTGCTTGGTCGACCATGTTCTCGGAACTTTTCTTTCTGAAAAATAATAAGAGGATCGCACGACGATTAAATAAATGCAAACCGCTGTCGTACTATTTAACACAGATAAATACTTTAACATTTGAATTAGCTCTCATCTATTAACAGTGAGGTGCGATGCAGATGTGTAAAAGAAATCTGCTAATAATGTTCTCGACTTCCCTATCAAGGCATTATCGCGAAAATTACATGATTGTTTGCACAAGATCATCTGCGATACGATTTGTTATCGCGATGGAATACATTGCGAGATTTTTTTAGAAACCTCGTGCATGGATACAATATCAAGACAACATACATCGTATTAAAAATTGTTTTCAGGCGAGGACGTATAAAACCAAAAATTTTCCGTCGACGATAACTGACAAAATCGCAGTGCGATATGCACGTAGTACAGATTTGATTAACATCGTATCAGCTTTCAGCCGATTGCATCTCGTTCGAAAAATTCAGTGCATGCCCTAGAAAACTTTCGCGTAATCACCCTCACCCTTATGCAACCCTCTCGTGCCTTGGCAATCATAAAAAACAACCGATAACGCTTCGATAAACTTCCCATACACGCTTCGCATAACAATTACTGGGAATCGCAGTTAGATAATTACAGATTTTTTAAACATTCCCAAACATGAGGCTAATTAAAACTTCCTCTATGTATAATTATTGGCAACGGGGAATGGAACGTCTACCAATTAACGGAAATGATAAAAATCTATCGAACCCTTGCGTTACTCACGTTCCGAACGGTCTGACGGTCTGTCGACTGACACAATGATCGAGGAATCGGGCCAAAGGTCGCGCGAAACCATTCTTCGATGATGAGAGGCCTTTGAGAATCTTAAACGTGCCCAACATCGACAATTCCATGAGCCCCGGTCCCCTCGCAAACCCTTATACACTTTTCGAAAGGATTCATCATTACTGGCATTCGACGGACGGGTTAAAGGACGTCGTTCACCTCTCAACGTGAACGCAGTTACGAAAGAGCAGTTCATTATAGCAGGAAGATATTGAAACTATATAGACACGTATAAGACCGATGGGAAATCTACGCATCGCAGAAATTCCTCAATTAATTATGCGTGACGCAAGACGGGATTGCATATTATCAAATTTTTATCAGTGCCCCTTTGAAAATTATTTTGGACGACACTTAGTGATAATTGTGCGTTTCTCAAAACAATTTCGCTCGAACTTCCAACGAGTTATTTATTCGCCTTCCTTTTTATCATTTCCTTTATCGAAGAACTCCATTATAAAAGATCAAAGTAATTATTTACACAAAAAATAGAAATATTAATAGGGAATATTATACGTCTGGTTGAAGTGAAATGAAGACAAAGTTCGAGCGAAATTCGGTGGTAGAATCGTTGGCTTCGACCCGACGACCGTGCGTGACGACGAATACGTACTCGTCCTCGACGTTCGTTTCGCCCGACGACTCGACTACGTCCACCGACTCGCACATGCTCGAGCACACGCCCATTGTCGCCGATTATGCCTCGATCATCGGTTACTTATAAGACACGAACAGTTAATCCGATCCTCTCATAAAACGTGCGCGATGAGGAAGAAGTAGTCAGTCAGGCTGGTACCAATCGCAACGATGTCAGTCGACGTCGGTCAGGATCACGCGAGCTCATCGCGTATCCCATTAGCTTCTCTACAGTGCTTTCCCTCGCTACGTGGAAACAGATTCTCAGACGAAACTTCTTTTACATTCTAAGACGACATCGAACAGTGATATACACATGGTGCTCTGGTCGTCACGTGTGATTCTCGGTGTGCAATAGTTTCTTATTATTACAAAGCGAATCGAGAGATTTTCCTAACTTTTCCTACGGATGATTCATAGCCTGTTATTGTACACTGTTTATCTAACAAGTCTCTTGAGTCATTCTCATGTACCACTGCGAGTGACGTGTACTTTTCACACTATCTATAATCTTAATTATCGTATCGAATAACATTGCGAATGACGAGTATCTCATGATTCCTTAAAAAATTAGTGTACTTATGCTACAGACTGATTAAACCGATTAAGATTAATTTAATATAAAAGAAAAAGACTGAGTCATTGCAAGATATTTTCCAACGAGTCGAAACAATAACGAGGGAGGCCAAGTGAACACATGCCTCAATAATATATCGTGCGAAATGCAAATAAAATTTTTCAGTCGACCTGTTTCCCGTCCACGCCCCTGCGTAAGGGCAGAGGGTTAACCCTTTTGTACGAGTCGAAGGGGGCACGGTCCCTAGCCACTATAAACGTCGACTACACTCGACCGAAGCTCCTTTATAAAGAACTTAAGAGAACATTCAAAACTACAATACGTGTTCGATAGTGTGGCTCGTGAAAAGAAATTTCGAACGGATATCGAATAATAAAAACAGGTTCTTCGGTCCGAGCCGAAAAAGGATTCGCGCGGTTACTCGGATTGGAAGAACAGTTTCTAATTAATTTCCACTCGACTAATGAAGCGATTCTCTCCGATAATAGACACTAAAAGTTTCATTCAAGAGGGATCCTCGGCCCCGCGTCAAACTCCGCGGGACGTAAACTCAGCCGATGGCTCGATACTTGAAGTGTGAGAAACTTGCCGGATAACGAAGTTCCGGGTGACTCGCGAGCAAGATTTAACGATCCTGATAGGAGTTTCGCTAGCTCGCCTAAATGATTATACTTTATATCCGAATAAGAATCGCTGTTCGATTAAATACATCGATTCGTCGGTGTGCAACCATTCAATTAACAATGCGCGTTAATTAGAGAACAGTCACAGGATCCTGAATGACTCACGCAACGAGTCTCCTGTGCATCAATTGCGAATTCCATGAATGTCTGATCCGACGTACTCCTACGTCACTAGGCGGGCACCGAGCCAAGTGACGTCACCTACGAACTCCTGAACCAGCGTGTACACTTTACCATACCATAAACCACCCCTTAAGAATTCGAAGACACGATAAACGCCATTGGCCCAGAAACAATTGCATTGATCATTGTTATCATATAATTTATCAATGGATAATTTATGACGCGAAAATAATTCTCGACACGTCTTAATTTATTTATACATACTCGTCGGTCGACGTGGTATCCTTCGAGGTACATCCGCCCATGACGACGCCCCGGCGAGAGAGACAGCGAGCGAGAGTACGAGAGAGATCGGTAAAACCCCGAGCGCGTGTTCACCTTCTCGATAATCGAACTTCACCTCTTCACTGGGTACTCCTGCCCCGACGCGATCTCGAGGAGGATTCTTCGAGAGACCGGAAGTTCGACTCCGGGGGTGAAACAAGAGGGTGTGGGCGGCGGGGCACACCTCTCCTCGGCGAGGCAAGATGGACGGAAAACGAACGCGTGTTCCCGAGCACACCACGCTGCACGCAGCGTGTATTATCACTTCCTGTTGTCCTTGGGGGTAGTCACCCCAGTCGACGAGTAAAACTTGTTCCTGCTCGTCGTCCCCTTTCTCCGGGGGATTCTCGTTTTAAAATTGCTTCCTTTCGTGCAAATAAACTGCCTGATAACGATGAGAACGGTCTAATACAGGGTCTTTCCTCTTATTTTTAATTCAGTCAGAGAACACTGAAGTCTAATTAATTATTCCGTTGATGGACCTTTTAATTCTCTGACTGTCCGTGAACGGTGCAGTTTCGGTCGCACTGGCTGACTACCTTGACAGATCAAAGGGATAGAATCGTACTGCGTGCCGATTGGATAATTGATTATCCAGGTTTGTCACGTTTGATAAAATCGAGCGCTGATAGACGAGAAACGGTTCGGGAATCGATGGAGAACGAGAGAGGCCGGCCAAGGGGCGCCGTTCGCGAGCAGCAATCGCGATCAATGCGTCACGCACTATATTATTACTGTCTTTCCTAGTCGCGGGTGAAAATGAAAGCGAACTACGTGTCCCGGGGAACCCTGGCTGCCGTCAATCGATATAGAGCGCACGGTACAACAAAGTTCCCGTAACAACCGGTTCAAAAGTCAAATGAAACAAACGCGGAAGTTGAAAGAAGACAGAGTAGATCCAGTACGAAGCATCAGCCAGTGCAACCTACGCATTGATGACTTACAGCACGCACCGGTGAAACAATCACAATCTTATATTTGTGGTATCGTATTCATAAATCAAGGAAATCGTTCGCGTTGCAAGTCATCAATATGCGTTTTTACTCACCGTCTCAAAAGTAGGGAAGAGTATTAGAAAACTCGTAGAAAAAAAGCACTGTCAAAAAGTTTGTTCACAGTCGTCGAATTGTACGCGTTCGTTCCTTGGTAAGAAATTCAGGATAGCGTTGTTCCTCTTTTGCCGGCTTTATCTCACGGAACCTTCCACCGGGCTATCCTTCGCTTTATCCCCTGTATCAGGTCGCGCTCGCGCCCTTCTATCTACAAACGCGTACTGCACGCGTGCCGTAACGTCCGACCAATTATGCCGTGTCGCGAGAGGCCGAATGGTTTTCTTTCCTGCGGCGCGCGTTGAAACGTGCGAAAAATGACACGGTGTGTCGCGTGTGATGTGAACACTACAGTCTCTACGCTATCACTAAGCAGGAGGCATTTCTGCGTGCCGTGATCTCTCTCTCTGTCCCGCCCCGTCCTTGTCTGTCCCGCTCGCTGCCGCCCCTTCTCTTCGCCGATTTCACCGTCCTCCTCTCACCAAAATCGTCTGTCCCTTTCCCGCCGCGACTCCCTATCCCTTTCTTTCTTTATCTTCATACGAATCTTCCGTTTGTCTCTCTTTTTACTCCTGTCACTCTGTCATTACTTCCCTCCTTTACCATCTTTCATCGACTTTCCCCGTCTCGCTCTGTCTCCGGATTTTCGCCGCGCTTTCCCTCGCAGGATTCGCTCGTCGCTCTTATTTTCCTCTCCCAAAGCCATCTTTGTTTTTCCCCGGTTCTACGGTGTTCTTCCGTCCCTTTTCCTCGGATCCGGTGCATCTCTCGTCGCGAACCTTCCTCTCCCACGCACTACTCGCGGA